TTGAAAACGGTATTATTTATCATTTTAGCTGGCGACTTTCCCTTCGACTTTCCTCTGCAGGACCTCTCGAAATTAGAGTTAAGCCTGCTTGAGTGCTGGTCATTGAGAGAACTCGAGTTCATTGAACATTCAAAAAATGATTTATTTTTAATGGTTGAAAATATATGTCTGGTGTTGGATGTATATCATGAACATACTGCCTTTTTGTAGTTCGAAAGAAATGTATGCAAGTAAAGAAACTGGCCAAGTTATTCTTGATATTTTAAAGGGGAAGTCAAGTCCGTAATGTAAACAAACGGTTTGTTTGCATTTTGAACTGCTGTATTTTTTAAAATATGATGTACTGTCTGAATATATGATACCATTTTGGTTCGCTATGCTTCTAAATGAATATGAAATAGAGTTTATGTTCAGAAAAATTCGAAACAATCGAAATTTGGGCAATGTTCACATTAGAGGTCCTCACATTGTTATGAGCAGAACCGATGCGCAGAACGGACTTGACTTCCCCTTTAATAATACATTGAATTTAATTATATGGAATGTTGAAATTACTATTTATTTGTGCTGATGATACATTTTAACTCAGAGGAGAAAATTAACTGGAAATATTTTATGATTGTATGTTTCTTAGTTTCTAAAATTTTGCCAATACAAGGCCTATAAGGCTATAAAATTAAACATGCGTAAGTGCAAAATATGGCGAAGTCTGTGAAGACAATTTAGACAAAAACATTAATATCAACCTGTTTTGGCCATTTAGCTATTGTTGTAACTGGCTGACAGTAAGTTTAAAGCACAAACCAACCCAATATCACCTCATGCATGTTTCATTTGTTGATGTGTATTTTGTGTTTCACCTTGCTTTTGACCTATGAAGGCTATTGCCCTTGATTGCCAAAATCTACAATGTTTACACTAACGAATGGGGGGTATACTCTGGATTTACCTGTGGTTACATACAATGCATTTGACACCTAGTTACAGGACAGAGTCTAACAAATTGAGCAATTTAGAGATATGGTTGCATATCACAAATTGTTGGGCTGATTTCAGATGCATGTTAATAATCAATGGTATTTAAAAAATATGTGGCAAACATTTGATGGTCTCACTGAAATATTTGTCAACATTCAGCAAAATCTAAAATCAACTCGACAAAGTGTGGTGTGTAAACATACACATACAATACACACATAACACATGATTTACCATATGTTGTCATGGAAATTGGTCTCGAGATTAAACAATCCAAACATGTTTAGAGCCACCCCAAATACTTTATTGTCATGTTACTCAAGGTAGGTCCCAATAAACTGCTTGGACAGGTGTGGGCTTTCTAGTGTAAACACAACAAAACCCTATCCCAGTTGTTTCTGTGCTTGCTCCTAAATCCTCATGAATACTGTATATGGTCTTTGGTTCAGCCAAATTTGAAAGGGCATTTGTTTTACACAACTTCGCTAACTGAGATATACCAACTTATCCCCTGGAATTTCCACAAATTTTCATGGAAATTTACCCCATCTCATGGAATTTGTATGTAAAAATTACCCTTCCCCATGGAATTTCCATTTTAAATTAGGCCTTCCCCGTGGAATTTCCATTCAAAATTTGGCCGTGTCCATGGAATTTCCATGTGTAAATTACCCCTCCCTATGGAATTTCCATCGTGGGACATTTACTTCTGGAAATTTCTGTCTAATATATGTAATCCTATGGAATTTCCATCCCATTAAATTTAATCCTTCCTCTGGAAATCCCATGTGAGAATTACTCCTCCCCTTGGAATTCCAGATCCTGGATGCCCCCTTCCCTGGAATTTCTAGGGTTAATGCACCCCCTCCCCCGGAAATTCCAAGGTTAATGTCCCCCTCCCCTGGAAATTTGAGAAATGATGCAACTTTCCCATGGAAATTCCAAGGTTAATGCACCCTCTTCCAAGGTTCTTCAACAGGGGGGCGGGTGCGGATAATAATCCGGAGGACAGAAAAATCGGGAAGGTGGCAAACAAGGTGCAGTGCACCACTGGCATGGATGCCACAACATTGTGTTCCAAAATCAGTAGTTGTCCAATGAAATAATCTTTAATTAATAATTAAGTAAAATTGTTATCCTATTTTCTGAATAATTTATTATATTAATATATTAATTTTGTCTCAATCAATTATATGCAGGTCTATCCCTCTTTTGTGTCAATTTACTTCATATTGATATTCAAAATCCAATAGCAACTGGTAAATGTCATTTTTACAGAATCCCAATTATTGTGCAAATAACAATTCTGGCCTGTTTGTCTCACACATGATCTGTATTTACCACATAACTTGACCATTTCACATTGATTCTCAAGTTGGATAGCATCAAGTAGTACTGTATTAAACTTAAACTAGAAGGGGAACAGCACAATACAATAAATTAATATTTATTTCTTATTTCTGCTAACTACTTGAAGTTATTTGTACACATTTTGGCCTGTTCAGCTAAGCCAAGATTGCTACATTTAATTTATTTTGACCATTTGTGTTAGTGTACAAATTAGGCTAGCATAATTACTGTAGGTGCTGACCATCAAGTGGGGATTGACATGCATAGAATTGGTTGAGCAGCTTATTTAATTAAATTGGTGTTGTATATATTTTAAAATAAATAATAAATTTTGCTGTGATTTGAAATTGAATATATTATTTATGCTTATTACTAAATGAAATTATATAATTATCTTGGAAAATCATTTTTTGAATAAAATATTTTTTTATAATAATTCTTTAATGCCAATAAAAATAAGGTATGAATCGCATAAAATGCAGGGGCCGGTTGTTCAAAGGTGGGTTTAGCGCTAACTCTGGGTTACTGTCGTTCCAATTGAAGTGTTCCTCAAATATTGAGTCAATACATTACCTCGGGCTGACCAATTCATTTCATCAAGTTCCTCGAGATATTCATACACTTCCTGTGAAAGAGCCAATTCCAAGAACTTGATAATTTCTGGTCACTTCCTTTCTATTTATGATTGGTTAGTTGCACAAACAACAAAGGTGATTGGTGCATTCAAACTATTCAACAGGAAATTTACAATTATACTAGGAAGTGTATGAATATTTCGAGGAATTTGATCAAATGAATTGGTCAGCCCGAGGTAATGTATTGGAACGACAGTAAAAGTTAATCTGCTGTTTTAGTTGTGTACCTCTGCACGTCTGTTTATTTCAGAGAAGAAAACTCCTATCCATCCAGACAAGATCTCTGAAGAAATATTTCCAAACTTATAGCCAAGCTATCAGGAAGTTTGCTTTGAATTTTAGGTTAACCTAGGGTTTAGCTAACCCAGCTTTTAACAACCGGCACCAGATATCAAACATTGTAACTCGAGCATAAAAATGTGCATATTTATTCTAAAAGGCAATTGTTCCTTGAATGTTCAATGACATAGTGCCATCACCCTTTACAAGGAAAACCATTATAAAGAAATACACTTGACTTTCTTCATTGTCACCCTGTACTTAGTACAGATATAGCCTACCATATTTTCTTGATAAATTCATACCTGAAAGCGGAATACATACAGGTGTAAAAAACTTTAATGGTGATATAAGCGCTTTATATATTCCAAAGAGTTGCTTTTCCCTACAATTTACTAATAGAATAAACTGGTATTAAAATCTCTAAAAAAACTTTTGTCACTCAGGGAAATTTGTAGCAATACGGTTTTCAACAAGCTATATTTGTTTAAGTTTACTTACTGGAGATTATTATTAGGGGTGCACCGGATTTAAAATCCGGCCTCCGGCCGGATTTAACGAATTTTCCGGTATCCGGCATCCGGCCGGATTTGGAGAAAATCCGGCCGGATTTAAATTTCTGTTTTCACCTTAAAATATTCACCAAGAATGGGATAACCAATCAATTTGGCAGCTTTAAAGTTTAAAAAACACTTAATATTATTATAAAATATTAAGTTATTAACAAGAAGATATTTAAAAAAAGTTTAAACACAATAAAAAATCTAAACTGATACTAACTAAAAATAGTAAAAAACATAAACCGCCATTTTGAATACTGAATTATCCCAATTTATCCCCTTTACCGGTTTATCTCAAATCCGGCAAATCCGGCCGGAATTCCGGCCGGAATTTTTGTTCAAATCCGGTAAATCCGGTTCCGGCCGGATTTGAAAATTCCAAATCCGGTGCACCCCTAATTATTATAATACTTGTGTTTTAAAGAATCTTGATAGTCAGTTGCAACACAAATTCACAATACAACAAGAATTGATAAATCGTTTCAATGACTTACATGTTTTGTCCTTGTGGCTGTCAAGCTCCATTCATGTCTTTTTTTATTAATGGCGTTCGGTCTTTATTGATTTATACGAGCAGTTAGAATAATATTATTTTCAGAAGGACGAAAATAAAAAATATACTCTCTGTCGATCAACAAATATAAACACTACATAAATCACTGTAAAATCCAGGGGGGGGGGGTTGAACTTTGTCGCCCACGGACATTCGGGCCACGGGTCAGTGGAAACCCCCATGAAAATAGGTCGATTGTGACGTAAAATCCGCCATGTTTTTGGTCACACACTTTCGTCGAGACCACGATCTCCAGATATATAGTATAGCTCAGTGGCGTTGCCACGACCAAAAATGACGTGAGCAACGCGAGCCTGCGTTCAGTGTTGACGTAATTTCGAATACTTCATGTTGAAACAATGTTTGGAGAATATAGGCGAGGGGTTGTTGTGTGCATGTATTTCTAGTAATTACAGAAATTATTTACAAAGAAAACAAAAGTAAGATGAGAGTCAAGTATGATGAGAACCATTCATTAACTATTCCAGGATGTACATTCCATGAGACTTAAGAAAGCCGTGCATAGCAGACGGGTGTGCCTAACAGAGCTCCTGAAAAAGTTGAATTATTTTCTTTATTCTAAATTACATTGACTCACTGAGAATAAATACGTATTATAGGTGATAGTAATCTGCCGATTATAGCATGCCTCCCAAGAAAAAGCCAGCACAACTGTCGCAAGAAGCAAAGAGCAAGATATCTGAGATTGCGACATCGACCACCATGCTTTCGATCGCAGCTTTCGAAGAAATTCTAGACAAACGACTAAAGACCCATACGAAAGAACTTGATAACGCTGTTTCTAAACACTATAAAGCTACTCATGATGAACTTAAAGCGATTCAATCAAGCCAATATTTTATTAGCAATAAGTTCGACGAACCATTAAATTCATTCAGCTTGTTAAAAAAGAAAACAGCCATCTGAAGCTAGGAAATGCCCAGTTAAATATCTTGGCTAAAGAAATGGCGGATCGAATATCTAAACTAGAAGAAGATCAAGAAAATATCAATCTATATTCTCGAAGAGACTATTTAGAGTTTCATGGAGTACCAGATACGCTGGACGAAAATACAGACGAACTGGTCAAACAAATCGGTGATTTAATGGCAGTTGAAGTTAAACCATCGGATATCTCGACGAGCCATCGCTTGCCTTCCAAAAGGGGCGTCATTCCTACAATTATTGATCCCTACAATTATTGATCCCTCCGATCTTGGTTTTGCACGCCCTGATAATAAGTTATATGTCAACGAAAGCCTTGCGCCGAAAGCCAGAGAATTGTACTATCAAGTAAGACAAGTTCGAAAATCCAATCGGTTTAAGTACGCTTGGACAAAATATGGTAAATCCTTTTTAATGAAGGACGATACTTCTCGTGTTACATCATTAGCCTCGATTAAAGAACTTGATGATTTCGAAGCTAACATATCAACTTCATTTGGCTAAGTAGGCCCTATACCCTAATTTTATTCTTGCAATATTAAATTCGTTTTATATTATTGGTAAAATATGGCTGCAGCACTCGATGATAGCAGAGAACTACCCTTTTATGATTTAGATAGTGATAGTTTTACTGTAACTTAGCAATGTTTGAGATGCAAATCGGCACGATCAATTTCGGTAATGATAGATTAGCCATTTTGAGTTATAATCCTTTACTTTCTAATACAAACCAACAACGTAAACTAATGAGAGATTACGATGCAGATTCGTATTTTTTTGCTGATCTGAATAAAAACTGTGATATTTTACTGAAGACCAATTTAATGATTTGTTTAAAAAGGAGACCCATTGAACATTTAAATATTCGTAGTCTTGTGCGTAATTTTCAAAAACTGACTGAATTGTTGGGCATTTTAGATATACAATTCTCTGTTATTGGTATAAAAGAGATTTGGCTACAAGATTCTGCTCATTTAGTAGACATAAACGGTTTTAAATTTTTCCATAAACATCGAGCTAATAGAACAGGAGGCGGTGTTGGTTTGTATATGTCTGACGATTTCGAAGCTAAAGTGCGCGATGATTTGTGTTTTGTTAACGAAGAATTAACGGAGTCTTTATTCCTTGAGATTTATAGGGCCCAAGGGAAAAACATTGTCATAGGTGTTATTTATAGACCTCCCAACCAAAGTGTTGGGGATTTTTTATTTGCATATAAAGAGCTAATTGAAAAATGTCTAAAGAGAACAAAACATGCTATATAATCGGGGATTTTAATTTGTACTTGATGGATCATCATTGGAATTCTAATTTAACCGGCGAGTTTTTGGGCGGAATGTACTCCAATATGTTTTTCCTCTAATAACCCGTCCAACTAGGATAACGTCTCATACAGCCACTTTGATTGATAATATATTCACGAATCAATTATCTCATTGTTTAAAAAGTGGCTTATTGTTCACTGACATTTCAGATCATCTTCCAGGTTTTCAATTTGTTTTGAAGACATAGCTTATACTCGAAATGTTAATGATGTTATCGTTTTTCGTGACCAAAACAAACAAAATGTGGCGAAGTTTAATGAAAAATTAGGAAATGTTAATTGACCACTGTTGGATGGGTATGACGATCCAAATATATCAGTCATATAAAACTTTTTTATCTAAATATACTGAAATTTATAACTTAATTTTTCCTCTGAGAAAAGTAAAGGCTGAAAAAAGTTCAGTCAGTAAACCATGGTTGTCAAAAGGTCTCTTAAAATCCGTGAAAATGAAAATAGATTATACAAAAAATACTGGTCCAATCCTACACTTGAACATGAAATGACCTACAAGAGATATAAAAATAAACTGAATCACTCTGTAAGAATTGCTAAATCTTTCAAAAATTTTCCAAATTCAATTTTCCTTAAGTTAGCAACTGAATTCGAGATCCTGGACATAGCTTCCAGTTTCCAGTCAGAAAAAGCTGTATAGGTTTTGATAAAATTCCTATGTCGATAATAAAACAATTAATAAATGCAATTTATCAACCACTGAATCACATTATTAATCTGTCCATAACTCATGGCATTGTACCCGATGAGATGAAAATTGCTTGGGTAATTCCTCTTTTCAAAGCTGAAGATCGAGATGTTTTCACAAACTACAGACCAGTCTCTATACTTCCTAGTTTCTCCAAATTCATAGAAAGAATTATCTATAACCGTTTTTTGGAATATTTTAATAAATACAATATATTATCTGATAAGCAGTACGGTTTTCGGAAAAATCATTCAACTTCTCTTGCTTTAGTAGTTTTGTATGATAAGATTTCAAATGCGATTGATCAAAAAGAAAATGCGGTTGGGATTTTTCTAGATTTATCGAAAGCCTTCGACACAGTAAACCACAGCATTCTTTTTGATAAACTAAAACATTACGGAATTCGTGGTTTAGCTTTCGAGTGGGTAAAAAGTTATTTTTCCAATAGACTTCAATTTGTTCAATTCAATGATTGTTTCTCTGCTTCAAAAAATATAACCTGTGGAGTACCTCAGGATTCGATACTTGGTCCTTTATTCGTTCTATTATATATTAATGATATTGCTAATGTATCAAATCTCGTAGACCTAATCCTATTTGCCGACGAGCATATTTTTTTCACATAAAGACTTAAATTATTTGAACAATGTTTTGATCAGAGAATTAGAAAACTGCCCGATTGGCTTATTGTAAACAAACTTTCCTTAAATTTAACGAAAACAAAATTCATGATATTTAAACCAAGACAGAAAATACGTCACCCAGATGTTCAATTGACACTTAGCAATCGCAGTATTGAACAGGTAAATGAGACAGTGTTTTTAGGAGTAATTGTGGAAGTCACATATCTCTCATGTAGCAAATAAAATATCAAAATCAATAGGAATAATTTTTAGGTCAAGTTTTTATTTATTTGATATCTCTTTACGTATTTTATACTATTCAATCATTTATCCATATCTTGAATAGTGTAACTTCGTCTGGGCGTCGACATACTCGTCCAACCTGTGCCGTATCGTATTGCTGCAAAAACGAGCTATTATAGAATTTTAAATAAGAGCGAATTTCATGATCATACTGACCCGTTCTTTAAAAAGCTAAACATATTGAAATTCGAAGATATTCGTTTGCTGCAATTAGGTCAATTTATGTAGGCTATTGTCACAAAAATTCTCTTTTGCCGAAAAGTTTTAACAGTATATTTGTTTTAAATAATCAAGTCCATACTTATGATACTAGACATTCGAAAGCTTTTCATGTGCCCTTATGTAGAACAAACATTAAACAGTTTTGTGTAAGATTCCAGGGCCCAAAACTTTTTAGCTCTCTTCCTTCAGAATTAGTTAATTCTACTTCCTTGATTTCATTTAAAAGAAAACTGAAAGGTTTTTTCTTCTTTAAATATTGAAAATCATCACCCTCTCTTAACTGTAAATACTGTTGAGTGTTATATAATGAGTTATTGATATGATGATCATGTACTCTTGTCTGCCAAAATTAATATTATGTAAATAGAAGAAAAGTTAATTCATTACCTCAAATGCATGCGTGTTCAAAGGGAGTCTAAATTTAAATAAGCCTGCTGGTTTATTTTAGGCTTCCTTGTTGCTAATATATTAATCGTGATTTCAACGTTTATATATTTATTATTTTTTTGTAGTTAAATTAATGTATTTAGCAAAAAATCAAATTCATTAAACATCATTAAACATCATCAAACATCATTAAACATTGACTATGCACTTTAAGCATGGCTCACTGACTCGCACTTTAAGCATACCCAACACGATTGATACTTTTAAAAACATAATGAATTATCAGTCCTAACACATCATAGGTAATTCTTTTTACGTATAAGAAAGGATTTATGTTTTATGAACTTTACATTTCTACTGATAAAGCATTGAATAATGCAGATCATTAAACATGTGCAGAGCATGATCGCGATGACCTGTCGCTGTGGCTAGCTGTATACAATATACATAATAATCGATACAAGCATGCACAGCGTCACTGAGCAATAACTTCTTCACCTGAAACCGCCACGGAAAATGGGTTTATAGGATGAAGTGATCCCTACTGCAAGAAAGTCAATCAGAGAGTTTACGAATGTAAGGCAGCGACGTCAGGACGACGGCTAAACAAACTGTTTGTAAATGATTGTATGCAAATCTGGTGATGTAAAATTTACTTTTGTATGAAATTAAAATAATTTCGAATGAGCAAAACAGAGCTTTAACCTTGAAAGCAACGTTGATCAACTCTGCTGGAAAAACTACCTGTCACGGCTTCGGAAATGCTAGCCTACTATATGCCGGCAAGACGTGAACATATTCATTTTGCCGTTGTCAATTACAAAGCTTGGACGGCATCTAAAACCCCTGCTAGACCTTTAGTTATTCATTTCTGTTGTGCTATAGGATTAATCGGTCATTGTGTTGATAGTTGTCGTCCTTACATCGCTGTCTTACATTCGTAAACGTACTCCCTACATGAATACTGACGTACATAGGTGCAGTGACGTATTGTACGTGCATGAACATAATAGACTTCTTACTGCATAGACTGAGGTATGCATATTGATGCCAGGTCAATAGGACAATCGATAGATGCTAACTATTATTTCACCGATAAATCTGAATTGTTAATTATGTCGCAATTATAATGCGCATTTCAAAGACAACACTGCAGTTTTGCTTCACCTGTCAACCTGCTAAGTGCTCTCAAAAGTTACTTAATTATCAACAACAAGAAAGCATCGTGTTAATAAGATTGAAAAATTCGGTGAGTAAAGTTACATATACCGTACTTCTTTTCTTAATCATTAGCCGAAATTAGTATCTCGATAATGCGTGGATCCAGCTGTCCATGATAGCTATATGCAAATTTACAATAACCCAATATTTTAGAACAACCCAACATAGCTACAATCTTATGCAAAATAAACGAGACACTCCATGTTCCCGCACCATATCCTCAATGTTGGTTCGGGATTCTTAGCACCGTTTGAGGCTTCCTTTTCAATTTCGACTTCAAAATCGCAACATTGGATTTGGGAAAGGCGGATAAGCCTTACAAAATCATGATGGCACGCTTTATTTTGCAACAGATTGTAACTAGGATTAGTGTAATAAATTAGTGTAATAAATAAATTTCGATTGTAATTCGAACAAGACTATACGATAAGGATATGTTTGAAGGGGCTGAAGTTATGTTCGGCGAAAGGAATTGCT